GCAGGAGTGGGGTTGGGAGAAGAAAATGAATATTTATTGTGTACCCATGATGTGCCAGGCCTTCGTAAGATATTTTAATATGTGATCTCACTTAACCATCACAGCAATACTGTGAAGTAGAGAGTAGGAGCCCATTTTACAGTGGAGGAAACTGAAGCTCAAGGGGTTCTATGTATACATAAAAGATAGTACTGACAGCTGATATTTATGATGCTTACTATATGCCAGTCACAGTTATCTTTATGAATATAAACTCATTTAATTCTCATGATGTTTCCATGATACAGGTACAAGAGGTGTAATATTTCTATTTTAGAGATGAGAAAATTGAGTCATAGAGATATCAGAAGATTTACTCGAGGTCACACAGCTAGAAAATCATGAGGTCAGAAATGACTTCTGGCAGTCTGGCTCCAAAGTCCATGCTTTAAACCACTATACTGTATTGCCGAGTACAATACAGTGCCGTAGGGAGATGGAGAAAGGGAAAGACAGAGACAGAGAGAAACATACAGAGAGATAGACAAACAGACACACACATTGTCAGAGAGAGACAAAGACAGAAAAATAGACAAATGGAGAGAGAGGAATAGAGACATAAGGAGAGACAGAGACAGAGAGACACACACAGAGAGATCATAGACAGATTCTAAAATTTGAATATATTTGTTGAAATTACTTAAGACTTTCTTCAAAGAGGTTCAATGCCTTTCCAAAGAGTTGAGCCTCAAGATTAGTCCCGGGATGCAGGCTGGCACATGAGATCAATGAAGAGTGGACTCTGCCCTGACTTCTCAGACAGACACCCAGGGTACTGGGTCCCAGCCCCTTTGAGCTGACAGGTAAATTAGCAATGTCTGCCACTGCCTACGACTGAAAGAGAAAGGCTGTGGTCAGCATTCCAAATGGGGTGAGTGATGACTTGGCAGTTAAATACTCAAAACAGCTTCCCTGAAAATGGAATATTAAGAACATGCTTTTCTTCTCAGGTGCCATTTCTTATCACCTGGTTGGCTAGAAGCCAGGTGTTTTTAAACACTAATACTGTGTAAATTTCTTGGGGCCAACTCTTTGTAAACAGTGCTGGTGTTTGTGCAAGGTTAACATTGGCCCTTGACTATAAAAGCTTAAATATCCTTGGCTCTCCAAGCAGCCAAGTTACTCTTAGCCCAAGGAGATAGGTACACTATATTAATTTCCCAGAGGGGAAAAAAGATCATTTCCCCTTCTTTCAGTATCTTTCAGTCTTAACTTTAAATAGGTGAATAGAAAGATTAAGTGACTTGTTCCTGCCATAAAAAGAGGACTAAAGCCCAGATTTTCTGATCCCTATCTGCTAATTAGAGTACAGAAGACTAGATTCCATGGATTTTGTTTCACTAACCCTTCCAAAGTGTGAAGACTGATGTGGTATTTTTAAATGATTTTATGACAGACTGCTTATCTTTGAATACAATTTATACCCAGTGATCATATTTACTTTTAATGTTATTTCTTGGTATAGCTATTCTAGCATCAGACACAAGGACTGTAAGTGATCATCCCATAAACTACAAATGATCTGGCTTTTTTTAAAAAACAACAATATGAATAACTAATTGTATACTCAATTAGTGTGAATATCTAATCTGGTTTGATCAGATGATCAAAATAAATATAGCTCTTATATCAAAACTCATCTGGAATCACAGATAGATATCCTGTGCCTGACGCATTAAAAAAAATTCCTGAAAAGTTGCACACAAATTTTGTTTTATAACAAATTGAATTATTATAATTTATAACTACTAGGGAAACTGGCTATGTGAAGGGCTATCATGATAAATCATTCTATGAATCAAATAACCACTTTCCACTTTCAATCTTCATTTATTAAGTATATCTTTTCTTTATTCTTTTTTTTTTTTTTTTTTGAGATGGAGTCTCGCTCGGTTGCCCAGGCTGGAATGCAGTGGCACAATCTCAGATCACTGCAACCTTTGCCTCCCGGGTTCAAGGGATTCTTCTGCCTCAGCCTCCTGAGTAGCTAGAATTACAGGAATATGCCATCGTGCCTCACCAATTTTTTGCATTTTTAGTAGAGACAGGCATTTTTGTATTTTTAGTATTCACCATCTTGGCCAGGCTGGCCTTGAACTCTTGACCTCGTGATCCACCCACCTCGGCCTCCCAAAGTGCTGGGATTACAGGTGTGAGCCACTGTATCTGGCCTCTTTATTATTTTAGAATAGATTAGAGGCATACATTACAACCCATATTTTTAGTAAATTTGAATATTTGGGTTTTTGAAAACTGGTAGACTAAACATGCAAAATAAAAATGCTTTAAAAATTATCCTTCCTTTAAAATAATTTCTGTAAATTGTTAATAATGCCTAAAATGACTACGGAAAGATTAAAACATCTTTTATCACATACCCCAAAGAGTGTTGATGACTAGCAGAAATATTTACCTTTGACTGTTTATCAATTTATAATTGTAGGATTTCCATTCCCTCCATTAAAAAAAATAGTGTGTCCTAGATTATAGCACTTGCTGGCATTTACTATTTTTGTCACCCTATTACAGATGATTATAGAGAGATTTGTAAGTGCTTTGCTATTTTAAAATTTATTTCCAGGTCAGTCTGAGAATTCTTACTTTTTTTTGAAAGAAAACATAGACTCTTGTGGGTATGTTTACATAGCGGTATTTAAATTTATGCTGAATTTACTGTTTATGTGATGATCAGATCCACTTAAATACATTTTCATCTACTTCTATGGAGATTTCTGAAAATAAAGCAGAAATAGGAAGAAGGCAATGACTTACACAGTAATTGTTATTTAGAATGTAAATACATTAATTATGGCAAGATAAGTTATAAACAATCGGACAAACCCACTTATTTTCAAGGTCTATGCATGTATAAATATGTGTGTGTGTGTGTGTGTGTGTGTGTGTGTGTGTTCCTGTTGCATTAGAAGGTTTTTGAATTGTTTCCTTATTTCTATTTTACTGAATATGTATATGAATGTGCTATGGATTATGAGGGCTATTATCAAAATACATAATATATGTAATATGGGAAAATTTATCTTTTATAGAAGCCTTAAACAAAAGGGGCATTTAAAATTAATGTGATGAACACATTTTACTATGTGCAATACATGCATTTGATAAAATTTTCACCACAGAAATAATAAAACTAACAAAAGTATGCTGAATATTATTTCAGGTGAGGGGGGCGTAAAGGCATAATGCTTTCATTTTTGCTTTCAATGGCTAGCTCCCCATCATTGCACTAGTGTTCTTTTTCCTTTTGTTCCTTTTGACCTTTTAGCTCTTACCCCATTTCCATCTTTCCTAGCCTGAAAACAGGTGTAGGAGGAAATTGGTTTCTTTATGAACTCTCCTTCCAGCCACAATAATCTCAGATTCAAGATCCCATGCTAAGCTTCCCGCTGGATGAAAACCCAAAACATATTGTAAAATTTAACGTTGCATTTTCATATGCTTAAACCTAATTTACCTTTTAGAAAAAAATTTGCATATTTCTTCCTACTTTTTTTTTTTTTGAGACGGAATTTCCCTCTTGTTACCCAGGCTGGAATGCAATGGCGCGATCCCAGCTCACCACAATCTCCGACTCCTGGGTTCAGGCAATTCTCCTGCCTCAGCCTCCTGAGTAGCTGGGATTACAGGCACGCGCCACCATGCCCAGCTAATTTTTTGCATTTTTAGTAGAGACGGGGTTTCACCATGTTGACCAGGATGGTCTCGATCTCTTGACTTCGTGATCCACCCGCCTCGGCCTCCCAAAGTGCTGGGATTACAGGCGTGAGCCACCGTGCCCGGCCCTATTTCTTCCTTCTTAAGGCCTCACACACAATGTGGAAAATGCTTAGAAGCAGAATGGTGTGATAGGTTCTTTGGAGGTTTCTGAGAGGGGCACTGAAGACAACTTACGTTTCTCTTTTTTTTTTTCTTTTCCCTACGCTTTAGTAAAATGAAACCTGGCAGGGATGTCTTAAGTCAGCTCTGCATGGAAGGTGGATCTAATGACTTCTAAGCTGATGAGCTGACCCTCCCTCTCCACTAACCCTCCACGTCCACCCTTTCATTTCTGAGATGAAACTTTGAAAATTATTTTTTGCAGGAAGCTGTGTTTGCAGACTATGAACAGAGAAATCGTCTCCACTGTTCACTGACCCTAACCCATTGGGTCTCTGGCTAAAGCAGAAGAGCCACACACCTGAGGGGAGGGTGCTTGCTCTGAATACACAGCTTCAAGGACGTTCTGCTCAAATGGAAAGGCTCTAGACTGTAGCTAAGACTTTCAGTCGTCCAGATATTTACAGTTTGATGGACTTCCCTCCTGATAGTTTTGGCAATAAAGGAGAAAATCATTTCTCCTTAGAGCATTTGGAATTGGAAAAATAAACGTGCTGAGTGCAGCTGAGACTTCTAAGCCTTTGACATTTTTCAGTGGTAGGATGGAGGGTCCCCATGGACCGTCAGACTTGAGGGCTTGAACACTTAGTCTTTGCATCTGCAAAACCTGGATAATCACTCCATATACCACCGGCTAGGAACTAATTTTCTTGTCATTTCATAAAAAAAGATTCCCAATCTTCTAGACAAGTTGCAAGAACTGACTAACGCCCGGGAATGCTTGCAGATCAGCAGACCAGAGGTAGTGTAGACGCCAAGCGTGGACCGAGTCCTGGGGCGCCCCAGAAGTGTCTTCTCCCCGAGAGACAGTGTTAATTCCTCCCATTAACAGCTATGAGTCCCTCTTGGGTTTCTCCCACCCCAACACCCCTCTCTGAGCCCCTGGCCACAGTGGCCGTCTCTTCTCCTCCCTCGCCCCTAGACCAAACATCCCTTACATCAGGTGGGGTTGGGGAGGTCTACTCTTCGGGAAGGAGCGCGCAAGGGTTAATGATGAAAGCTGGCAACCAGGTGGGGCGCCCACACCCGTCCCCGGCCACGGTGGGCGTCGGAGGTGAGGGGGCGCTATTCGGGCAGCAGTGCTCCGGGTGGCGGGCGGGAGAGCTGCCAGGCTGACAGAGAGGCCGGCCCGAGTGGGGGCCGCTCCGTCGCCGCCGCCACCGCCGCCGCCGCCGCTGCTGTGATGCGGAGCCAGTGCTGCGCCGGGCGGTGGAGTCAGATCCCCGGCGCGGGAGCACGAGCTGCAACATCAGCACCAGCGGCGGCGGCACCTGCACCAGCTCCCAGGCCCGGCGCTGCGCTCTCCGCACAGCCGCCCCCGGGGCCGCCGCCCCGCGCTCTCTATGGATGTCAAGGCGGCCCCCAACGGGGTGGCCACTATCGAGGACCGGATCCTGCGGATCACCGGCTACTATGGCTATTACCCAGGTTACTCCAGCCAGAAAAGTAAGACGCCGCGGGGCTGCCCTGCGCGAGGCGGGGAAGGGAGGTGGGCGCGCAGCAGTGCCGCGGGGCTGCGAACTGGCGGGCGGGCGGGCCGGCGGCGCGCTGTCCGGACACCTGCAGCCCTGCGGGAGCTGTCAACGCCGCCTTACTGGCGGCGGGGACCCTGGGAGCAAAAAGTACGTCCGCTGTCCTCGGTGCTGAACCGTGGGAGAGCAAGGGGCCCCGTTGGGTGCGCCCAGGAGTTTGGAAACAGTCGTAGTCTTGGGGGGAGGCGCGAAGGGGACCTGGCGAGCGCTCCTGACCGCCGTCGGCCGGCTCACCCTTGTGGATTTACGCTCGGAGAAAGCTAACATGGCTGTTCACTTAACGGAAAGTCAGCCTTAGGGGCTGTATGCCCTGAAAGCCCCTACTGAGTGCCAGGCTGCGTGCGGGGCGCTGGAGACATAGGCTGGGGAGACTTGCGGGTGAGACTGGCAGGCGCGGCTGACCCAGACGTGGGTCCCGGCGCTGGCGGGGTCAGCTCGTTCACTCCGGGCTATTGAGACGCTGCCAGCGCGGGAGTTACTCCGATTACAGCGTCTTTAGGAGGTTCTTCACCCTGGACAGAGAAAAGGACCTACTCTGGTCTCTGAGCCCCAGAGCTTGGAGCCAGAGACCCGTGTAACAGACTGGGGGCGTAGGGGGGTGGTCTGAGAGGGGGAGGCGACAGGGCCGTCCGTCCCTGCAGCACGTCGCGGCCACCTCTGAGCCTCAGGAGTCTATTCTGTTCAGTCCCGGCTTTCTTCCAGCTAAGCGAGGTCATGCGGCGTGGATGCTTTCACGCTTCTGGACCAGTTTTGGTGGGAGGCCGATGAGGTGTACTCTGTTCGAAGTCACCCTCCCCAAATACACAAACCCACTAGCTATATTTGCTGGGATTAGTTCTACCAGCGACTGAAGTGCAGCTCATTTTTCTCTGAATTGGAGTTGTAGCTGCGGTTCAGTTTCTATGCAGGTGGGTCTCCGCTTTTTTTTTTTTTTTTTAATCAATGCATTTCTGTCGCAGTAGATGGAGCTTAATTGATGTTTTTACCATTATTTTTGTCGGAAGCTTTGGAAGCTCCTAGATGCATTTCTGATTGGTATTTTTCTGTGACATTTTGGGGTACAATCAACATTACAGTTTCTGCGAAGCATGGGACTCACAAAAATTACAGAACAAAGACAAGAAAACACTATTTTTCATGTAACTTTCTCCCCTACCATGCTTCCTCTCTATTGAATAATAATTCAAGAGCTTTGTTCCATGGGCTGTTCTCACACAGATATTTTCTCGTTCGAGATTTCATTTGGTTTCAGGAAAGGCCTATCTGATTTGGATGGTTTCTGTCTAGCTGTTTTTAGCATTAGGGGATTAAATTATTCATTTTCCATACAAAAGTAATTATATAGTGTTAGAATTTTCTGGAAAGAAAATAACACACTGTGGAATGCTCTTTGAAGCCTCTGTACTATACACTCAAAAACTTCTCTCTCTCTCTTTTTTTTTTTGTTGTTGTTGTTGGCAAAGGATTTCTTTTTTAACCCTGGAAACATAAGTGAAGGAACTAATATGCCTTGTGGAAATTACTTGACTTTCCCTTTTGAATATTTACTTAGGAACCATGGGAATTTTCGTGGCTTAGAGAACTTAGAAGCTGTGTGTGAAATTACAAGACTCAGGGTAGTTTATTATTGTAATTTTTATGACAATGGAAGTTTGGTTAACAATGAACAACCCAAAAGGAATATTGAAAAAGTGACATTTTAGATAAGGACATGTTCATATTATATTTTTGTACTTGCTCAAATAGCTGCACATACTTCATTTGCAATACAATAACAGGACAACAAAAGGGAAGAGCACTGGCCAAGGCTATAACTGGAAGGCAAAAGGGATAAAGATTAATTTGGCAGGGTTATTTCTGATGGGCTCTTACCTAAGTTCAGACCATAGAGTCAAAAGAATGAAGGCAGAGAATCTCACAAGAACAGAGAATTAATTGACAGTCAGATAAATCTCAGGACACTCAAGCTTCCAGAAGTAGAGGAAGATTGTTATTTTACACAGTGAGAGATTGAGAGAGGAGAAAGCTGGAGGAGGGCCAGGGAACTGAGCACCATGAAATAATCCTGTCCTAATGCAGGCTTCAACTAGTAAACAAACACACTGAAGCAAACCAGTACAATATGGTCAATTGATTTGGCTGTTACAGGGAATGAGCAACAGCTTAGGGGAAGTCTGGAAAAATAATACTTAAGAAAAGGCTGCAGTGATGAGTATATAATATATGCAAAGGCAAGGTGACTTTCTTATTTTCTGTCTGATTACGTATGAGGGATAGCTATGCCATTTACCTTTTTGGAGATAGATGGGGACTTACCTCTAAGAAAATGCATTCAAGATCAAGCCTGCTGTTAATGCATCCTGCTGTTTGATTGTCCAGGAAAAAATTCTAGTAGTCAGGCTGATGCAAAAAAAAAAATATATATATATATATATATAATAGAATTCAGAGGAAAAAAAGATACTTTAATGGGCAATTGGCCATTTGTTTTATTTATCCTGTTCAATTAACGAACACTTATTGAATAAATATAAACAAGAAATCTGGATACAAGGATGATTAAAGGTGGGTGCAGTGGCTCATGTCTGTAATCCTAGCACTTTGGGAGGCCAAGGCCAGATGATTGGTTGAAGCCAGGAGTTCAAGACCAACCTGGCCAATGTAGTGAAGCCCTGTTTCTATATCTATTTAGACATGTTTTTAAAAAGATGATTAATGCATAGTGTGGTTACTTAGATGGTAGAATAGATTTATTCATTCAACAAGTATTAATTAAGCACCTCCTATGTGTCAGGGGTACATCAATGAGCAAAACAGACAAAAATATTTTCCTTTTAAACAAGACAGTAAACAAATGAACAAATACATAAATTATCGAGAATATTTCAAGGTGATAAGTCCCTTTTGAAAAATTGCAACAGGATAAAAAGGATAAGATATTCTGGGGGTAGAGACTGTCACAGTTTTAAATAGGCTCACCAGGAAAGTCCTCATTGAGGAAGTAACAATTGAGCAAATACCTGAAGGATGCGAGGGAGTTCACCATGTGGACATTCAGAAAAAGACATTCTGGGCAGTGGGAACAGCTAGCGCAAAGCTCTGAGAGAGAGTGCTACTGGCATGCTGTAGAAACAGCAGGGAGGCCTGCATGACTGAAGTGGAGTGAACAGTCGGGAAAGTGGTTGGCAACGAGGTCACTGAGGATCCAGGAATAAGGTAAAGGACGGCCTTAGAGGCCGTCATTGTCAATCCTTTGGCTTGTATTCTGAATGAAATGAGCCTTTGAAGAGTTTTGAGAGAAGAGTGATGTGACTTAACTTACCTTACACAAAGATCAGTCTCACTGCTATACTGGGACAGGTTGGAAACACCTAATTAGTATGTTATTGTGATAACTTAGGTGAGAGATGATGGTGGCTTGAACCAGAGTGGTAGCAGTAGAGAAAGAGAAAGGTGGTTGGAGTCTGCATATATTTGAAATTAGAGCCAATAGGGCACCCCGATAGATTGGGTATGGTATTTGCAAGAAAGAGAGGAGTAAAAAATGACTCTGTCTTTTCTGGTTTGACTAATTTTGAGTTACCATCAGCTGAAGTATGAAAGGCTTCAAGGTAGAGAAGATTTGGAAAGGGGTTGGGGTGGATTTTCTGGGGATAAGGATAACATTTTAGAGATCCTAAATGTAATTGGAGATGGAGAGTAAGCTTAGAGTTCAGAGTAGATGTCTGATTGGAGATATAAATTAAGTATTTGCCAATACCTTGGTGGTATTTAAAGCCTAAGACTGGATGAAATATCTGAGGAATAAATACAAATATGAAGAGAAGAGGCAAAAGGATTGAATTTTGAGGCACTCTGACATTAAGAGGTTCAGGAGAAGAAAAGAAACTATCAAAGGAGACCAAGAAGGAGCATCCAGGGAGATAGGAAAACCAGGAACATGTGATACCCTGGAAGCCAGTAAATCAAGAGTTTTAGGTGAAAGAGATAGCTGAGTCCAATGCAATTGAAAGGTCAAGTAAAATGAAGACTGATTGAATTTGACAATTGAAGGTCATTGGTGATCTTGACAAGAATGTTGACAAGAGCACATAAGGTTGGATAAAATAGATTAGAGCGTGTGTAAGAGAGAATTAGAGGGAAGAATTCGAACCTGTGAGTATAGGTGACCCTGCAAAGATTTTTGTGCAAAGAGGAGCAGAAGAAATGGAGGAAGCAGGCTCAAGAAAGATTTTTTTTTCTTTAAAGTTGGGGGAAATAAGCATGTTTGCATGCAAATGACAATGCTTCAATAGAGAAAGAAGAATTAATGAAGTTCGAGAGATAGGATATAGAAACCTTGCACAAGAGAAGGGACATTGCTATAGATAGGAACATGGATATAGGGTAAGGTGTGTGGGGCAGTCTCGGGAAGGTGTATAATTGAGGTGATGGGCATCTGTTGAGGTTCTCTCTTGGTTGCTGTAGTTTTCTCCAGGTAGGAAGCAAATCATCAAATGAGAGAGAGGATGGTGGAGGATGTGGTAGAGGCTGGAGGAAAGAGAAAGTGTGAATAGTTAAATAGGGAGAGTGAATGGACTAGGGAAGTGTACTAAGGTTGTCTGGTAACCTTAGAGTCCATTTAAAGTTTTTACTAGCAAATTTAGAGTGAGATCAGTCAGTAGTTTGGCTCATTCACTAACACAGTAAAGGCATGGAGCAAGTAACGATAAGGATATTACCAGAGTTACAGATTATCCAATAGGTATTAAAAAAATAGGTACAAGGGAGTTGTATTATCATAATGATTGATCATGGAATTTAAATCTGGTAGGCAGAGAAGACAGAAAATCTAGATAATTAGGGACAGTGAACAGATGGTAGTTTCAATGAATTAGAGGTCTCAGAAGAATCAATGTTTTTTTGTATTCCATT